GATACAATACGACCACCTCTCTTCTCTCTTCTCTCTCTCACACACAGACTCAACAATAATTCTTTAATATCATTAAATATCAAGGTAGTATTTGCATTCCCTCAAATGTTCCATAAATGTTTTTTATCCCCCAGTTTAAAACAAAATCTAAATAAGATTCATACATTGCAATTGGTTAATAAGTTTCTTAAATCTTTTTTAATCTATAGATTTCCCCTCCATCACTTTTTTTCCCCTTGCTTAACATATTCCTTTGTCTCCTCTTTCCTATAAATTAGTAGTTAGAATTGGAGGCGTGATCAGATTCAAGGTTTGTTTGGTTTTTTGTTTGTAAGAATATTTCAGAGGTGGGTTGTATACTTTCAAAAGGATGTTGGATTAGCAGGAATCCCTACTTTTATGAAGAGAAATTTCCCCTCATCAACTATTTGGTTACTCTGAGGAATGCTCATATATGAAAGTCACAATAAAATGATTATTTACCAGTTTTAAAAACAATGATTTGATTCCCCAGTATTCTCTAAAGGTTTTTGTTTATTTTTACATATTCCTATGACTCATAGATTCAAAAATATTTGAAGTTTTTCAATCCATTACAGTATTTCTCCTTACTGGTGCTTAAATTGTCCTATCTTTGTCCAGTGGGAGCCTACTCAGGTTGGCTCTGGAATGCTTTAGACAAAACTCTAGCGTTCCTTAGGAGCTTCTTTACTTTCTGATACGGCCTGATGCTCAAGGCTAATCTCATACATTTCCTGACCCAGATTTGGAATCGGCAGGTCCCTAAATACCAGTGGTTATCTAGAAATGGTACTTAGAGACTGAGCACTAGGGGTGCTCACTGCTACTGGGCTGGTCATTAATTCTAGGCCTTTCAGTGGACAAGGATAGGAAAGACGTATTTTTTTTTAAAAGAAAACATACATTTTAAGTTCATACTCATAGTCAAACTTAAATTCAGTACTATAGGTTTTTTTTTTTTAATTTTATTTATTCATTTATTTTTTCCCCCAAAGTCCCAGTAGATAGTTGTATGTCATAGCTGCACATCCTTCTAGTTGCTGTATGTGGGACACGGCCTCAGCATGGCTGGAGAAGCGGTGCGTCGGTGCACGCCCGGGGTTCTGAACCCGGGCCGCCAGCAGCGGAGCGTGCGCACTTAACCGCTAAGCCACCGGGCCGGCCCTACTATAGGGTTTTTAATTACCCTCCTCTGTCTTACCTGTTTCTTTCCAGTTCTCAAAGCACCAACATAATCATTCAGTTGCTTTATCACTAATTCAGTCAAGTAACAATACTAATACTAGCATCAACAAAATGATTACTGAAAACACTGGAAGGTTTTCTGTTTTTTTTAAACTCTTTGTTCTGAAGGGATATTCCACTAGCAATGTACAAATTACTGTGTTTTAAAGTTACCTGGAACAATTTCTCTCTGCATTGGCAATGGCACCATCTGGAAACATACATTTGCTTTTTTATATTTTACTTGATTTTTAGGGATTGCTTCTTAAAATTTAATTTTTTTTTAAATTATGTAAAATATTTACATGGCTCCAAAACTACATCTCTAAAAAAATATATATATTCTAAAAAGACTAGCTTCTATCCCCATCCTTTGTATCCTATTCCCTCTATCACTCTCTCTTTAGGTAATTATTTAAAAATTTTTATCCTGCCATTATTTTAAGTATGAGGATATACATCCACATACCTCCATATATATTCATCTATGTATACACACATGCATATATAACATGTATATATATATATGTATGTGTAAGTGTGTATATATATATATTCCTTCTTAAACAGAAACACAATATATGGACTTTTCAAATTTCTCTAAGTCAAATTCATAAGCACACACACACTACGTATGTAATCCTTCTCTCTGTGGTCATGTGGTGTATTTGTTCTCTTTTTGGTGTATCTCTCAGAATTTAGAAAAGTGGGTGTTTTTGCTCTCATGGTTATGTTTATACTAATACTTTACATAATATCCTTGTTCTCCACTTTTTGGCTATTGCCTATTTGTTCCCTATAATAAGCAATATTAATATTAGCTTAATTAATTAATAAAGCTTTCTCTAGCTTTTCCCTCTCCCTCAGGTAGCAATCTGAATTTACTCCCAGTTAATATTTAGAAGGCAACAAGTGAGGATATTCTACTTTTCATATACCCTCCCCCCTCCTTCCATTTTCTGATAGATTGTATTTACACTGTCAGAACACAGAGCCACAGCATGTTATACTGTCTCCCTTATAACCACCGTTTAGTCTTACTTCTGTAAGTAAATGTATATTTAATGCTTACCAACTGTCGTTAGGTATAAGTCTCTCCCATCATTTTGGCTGTCTGAAACTCATTCTGTTGATTATATAATAGATTCCTCAGGAAAGGCTCATGTGAAAAATATTCCCCAAGTCTGTGCATGACCCTAACAGTGTATCTGTGGCCCCTACACCTGGGAGTCAGTTTGGCTAGATATAAAATCCCTGACTGTTACTCCATTGTCTTCTGGCATAAGACAGATAAATCTATTAACAATCGGATTTTCTTCCCTTAATAAAGGACTTAGCCATTTTGTTGGGATGCCCAAAGAATTTTTTTTTCTATAAAGTCCAACAGATTTATTAAAAAATGTCTCAGTGTTGGCTGTTCTGGGTTAATTTCCCTGAATGCAGTGTGAACTTCAATAAAATTTCAGTAGTATTTTTATTTCAGGAAAGTGTTCTTGAATTCTAGTTTTTACATTTGTTCTATTACATTGCTTTGACTTTCTTCTCCAGAAGCTCATTATCATGCATATATTGGATCTTCTGTATTTATCATCAATAACTACTCCTTTCTTTTGAATTCTTTTTATTTCTTTAGCCATGTCTTTTAAATTTTAAACTTTTCTATTTTCAGTTTCACTGGACTATCCATTGTGTTTATTCACTTTTGTGTTCCTTTTAGCTTAGTTTTCATCTCTGAAATAATTTTTAAAATTTTTTTCCCGAATTTTTTCACCTTACCTTTTATTTTTTCTATTTCTATTTTATTCAGTCATTTCTGAGTTTTTCTAATTCTGACTTAGACCATTCTTTCCTCACTTGTATAATTTTCTTAGGCTCCCTAAGCTCATTTAAAAATATTAGGCTATAGTTTTTATCTTTTTTGTGGTCATATCTTTCTTACTTTCATTGCCTTAAAGAAACTTATTCTGCACTTCATCCGCTAATAAATTTGTCCGGGATTTGACTCCTGCTTAGTTTTAACTGAAATTACTTTTCCTCTATTTTTAGAAAGGAGGGGCGGTCAGGATAGCCTTTCTAACTTCAAAGTTCTAGTACTCCCTTGTTTGCTGTTTCACAAAGTATTCAATTTCCTATAGTTTCTCCACAGTGCAGGGCCTTGTTCTGGAAGGGCGTTTTGGTCTGTGAGTTTCACAAACTGCTCCAGCTCCATTAGTCTTTCCAATTCATAAGTTGGGGCCTGTGAAGTCGCCTCCCAATTTCTGCTGCTGCTCTCAGAACGGCCCATCAAGCTTTCCAAAGACACTGATGGTAATTTTGAGGTTTTTCTAGCACTCGAGGCTTCACAGCACCCTCTGCCTTCCCTCCTCTTCCTCCTGCAGTTTCTGACACCACAAAGCCTTTTAGCTGTTGGTGATTTGGTCATTTGGTACTTTGGGGATATCTTGTCCCCCAATTTTATTAAATGGATGTTGCTTTGTTTTACTATCCTAGTTGCTCTGTTTTTATAGACAGATTCAAAGAGAAAAAAAAAACTATGCCACAGATGCTGCCATCTTCTCCAGATGGCATTGGAATTTGGAAGAATCAAGAATGGGGAGAGTATTTCATTCCTTCTGGTAATTTCTTTATTAGGATGCAAAGAATGGTCTCTCAATTCAAATACAAAGACAACAAAGAAGAGAGAGGGGAGTTCTGCAGCTCCATTCAGAGTACAGGTCTTACTCTGAGGTCCATGGATGGGCTCTGGAGTTCCAGAATCCTCTTGAAATTGTACTCAAAATGAATATATATGTCCTCTATGCATTTTTATTGGGGGAAAAAATTCTCCAAGGAGTCCATGACCTACTAAAGTTAAAAACCACTTATTTAAAGTTTGTAGCAGGCAAACTGGTAGTCACACATTGTAGTAAGTGAATTTGTAGCCTCACCTCTCTAACAGCCCATTAATGACAATAATGGCCGATAATAACAAATAGGCCCAATGACAGTGTTACACAAGAGAGGATGTTAGAAACAGTCACTGCCCTTAAACTTACCATCTGGTATGTGCTTGTTTTTATGTTGATATTTTTGACTCAGGTGTACTGTTACCCCCATTACAAAAGGAACACAATAACCTAACATCTGTTTGTGCACGCATATTATTTCTGAGGTGAAAATTCTCAGAACAAAGCTCAGTGCTAATGAAAAATTATTTAAAATTTTCTTTCACACACAACTGGTCAGTCCCAAAGGATTTAAAACCATACTGCATATACATACATTTATTACATTATATGGAACAGACTTTACCCTAATATTTAATAATCTGACAGTTCCTCTAATAATCTAACTAAAAATGAGAGATCAGGATGTCAAGTGAAATTCTAGTTTGTCCTGCCTTTTAAAGGATTTTTCTATGGATCAATTCAACCCACATTCAAACTCATCAACACAATCCCTCTCAACTCCTCTAATTACTGTACTTATTTGAACAGGGTTTTTTTTGCCTCTAATTTTAATAATCATTTCCTCCATTTTTTTCCTACCTTGCTAACATCTATTTTTCTTTCTCAGCTCAAACATCATTCCCTTTATGAAAATGTCCCTCCCAGCTCTGGTGGGAGTTGCTTCCTCCTCTGAGATCTCAAGTACTTTGTGCTTATTTTATCATAATAATTCCACCATTAAAATTCTTTGTTTATATGTCTTTCTTCTCCCTAGACTGTAAGCTTCCTGAAGATAGAGACTGTTACTTATTTATTTTTACATATCTAGTATGACAGATAGTTCTGGACCCATTCTCCTTGTCTTTCTTCCTATCAACACCCAAATATTATTTGGAGTGGTCAATGTGCCTGTAACGGAGACTGCTAGCTGTTTCCCACCTGCCTTCCATTGTGCTACACGAAATGCAGATGTCACGGTTGGAGCTCCCAAAGCCACCTTGTGACAAGGATGAGAGCAACACCCCAGGGTGGGAGAAGGAAGAGTTGGAAGAAAAAGCTGACACCACAGAGCTACCATACTATCCTAGGCTCTGGGTATTGTGAGAGAAACATACACTTGTTAAAGCCGCTATTTTTCAGGTATCTGTTACTAGTAACTAACCACATTCTGTACTGATATACCTAGGTACTCAATAACTATTCAATAAAGCATTCAAAGAGTGAATGAAATAAGGAACTTGCTGAAAATGAAATAAGGAACTTGTACGGACTGTACATCCCACAAGCACTTCATAAATGCTGACTAGCGTGGGTCTCTCCTCTGTTGCACACGAGAGAGGCCATGGCATCTCCTCTAAGGAGAGAAAGACAACGGCGCAGAAGACAAGGCCTCTACCTGCTGACACTACCAGATTGACGCTCACTGAAAGGGCCCACTGGATCTCTGTTCATAATGTTCACTGAGATCAAGGGAATAAAAGATTTGTATAAAGTCGGGAGAAAGACAGTCACCGTCCAGAAATACTAAGAAACACAAAAAGAGAGCTTAAAATATTATAACAGAACTTCGATAATTTAAGTAATGCTGCCACCATGTGGCACTTACTCACTTCTTTTAGAAATAAAATTTTATAAAGAAAAAGATTATTGTTGCCATGTGCATTAACTTTTTAAAATATATAAACAACTTTAGTTTTAAATACTAGCCAGTAAATAGAGTGAACTATATTTAAATGGTATAGAGAAGATAAAACTTGTAGGAAATACTGATTGCATTGCCTCACCATTCTTTTCTGTCCAACCATGCAATTTAGGAATGAAGACCACTTTTATTAATTGGAGAATGTTATTATTTGGACCAAGATAGAAAAGAATTGTAAATAATGCAGATATCTACCTATTTAGATTCAAATCTAAAGTCTCTAATACGCTTTCAGCTTTTCTCTTCTAATTTGAGGGGAAATGTTAGAATATAATACACAGAAAAGGAAGTTGAGCCTGATGTACAGGAAAGTTTCCATGCTACACTAAACCCTCAGGAACACCAACTGGGGAGGCCATTGTGTCAAAAGACAGGATCAAGTACTTTTCAAGAAAAGGAGTTATATAACATTTAGTTGAAGATAATTCAAACTTAGCTGACAAAATATTTTCGAGCCCTTCAGAGACTATTCTTCAACCACAATATGAGAATGCCTTGCTTCACGAAGGGCAGGTCTGTGTCTGTCTTAGTCACCAATATAGCATTGGTTCCTGACATTATATAATAAGCTCGAGCTCTTGTCCTGCTCAAGACATTTATATAAGCTTGTATCTATCATACTCGGTGTGAAAATTTTATTCTTTAAATTAAGAATACCATCCCATTTACAATTGCAACAAAAAGAATAAAATACCTAGGAATAAACTTAACAAAAGAGGTGAAAGATCTGTATACTGAAAACTATAAAACATTTCTGAAAGAAATTGAAGAAGACACAAAGAAATGGAAAGATATTCCGTGCTCTTGGACTGGAAGAATTAACATAGTTAAGATGTCCATACTTCCTAAAGCCATCTATAGATTCAATGCAATCCCTATCAAAGTTCCAACAACATTTTTCAC